CTAAAAATTCATGGAATTTTAGCATGGTCGCATTTTCCAAATTAATAGACCGCTATGACTTCACAACGAATACATTGGGTCGCAAAAATGTCGAATACCCCAGTTCTGCGTCGCGCCACAAATTCCCTGAATTCCTTCGCGGCCTCAACGAGGCGAAAATAGAAGCTGCGAGACATTTCGCGGATGAGGTGGCGGCGCTGTTGGCTCGTGTACCGTGAGGGCGCAACCCAACTCCCACGTCGGAAAGCCCAGTGGGCCTATCTGACTACACTACCAGGCAAAGTGAATTTTTTTTTTCCGGGATCTACAAGGACGACTTTTTACGGACGAAAAAAGGCAATTTGAAATAAAAGAAAAGAATCTGCGAAATGTTTCAATTTTTAACATTTGTTTGATTTTATGGAGTGTGAATGGCAATATGTCGACCAGTTTATTTCTTACAATAACAATCTTATTTTACTCTGATTCTAAAGATTAAATATTTAGAGAGCAGGATGCATGAATGGGAGCAGGAGCCTAATGCATGAATGCGACAAATAAACTTGTAGCCATCTCTTTGCACTCACTGTCATGCGAATTACATATTTACGTCATGAACGATGACACCTGAATATATTATCTTGATCTGGCAATTATAATGGTCAAGATCATTGGTACGTATTTTAACTATTAAGGAACTTCTATGAATCAAATTTAATTACATCAATGATATCAATAATAGTTTGTTAATAATTTTGTGCTAATAATCACTTATGATTCATAGCACGCGATTCGTATAGAGCACCAAATCTCGAAATTATCTAACGATCTTGACTGTCCGTGTGACGCGGTGTCGAAGGCTATGATGCCGACGTTTCGACCATCTTGTCGTGGTCTTTCTCATGGCTGGTCTCTTCGCAATTACCTGACCCTGTATCTTACATTTTGAGGGAAAGAGTATATGGTAGATTTTTTCTTCATCGTCGTTATCTACTTTTGCTTCTCCTTCAACCGGGAAGAGTCCTGGCGCTCGCGGAACGCGAATGCGCGTGCCATGACAGGCGCGGTGGCAGTGACGGACCGGCCCGGGCGGCAAGGGCGGGGCGGGCGATGCGGGCGGCAAGAGCGGGGCGGCGGGCGCGGGCGGCAAGGGCGGCGCCAGCGGCAAGGACGGCGCGTGCCATGGCAGCCGCGTGGGCAACGACGGACCGGCGCGAGCGGCAAGGGTGGGGCCGGCGATGCGGGCGGCAGAGCGGCGGCGGGGGCGCGGGCGGTGAAGGGCAGGGCGGGCGGCAAGGGCGGCGGGCGCGAGCGGCAAGGGCGGCGCGTGCCATGGCAGCCGCGTGGGCAGCGACGGACCGACGCGGGCGGTGCGGGCGGCGCGGGCGGCGCGAAGTATTTCGAGCCTGACGAGTCACGGAGGACGACAGCGCAGCGGTCACATCTGTCAGGAGGCGCTCGCCGCTGGCCATTTTAGTTTCATCTCCATATTTGCTCATTTGAATCATCTAATCGGCCCACTTTTATTAGTTGACTTTTTGTTCTATGTTTAGACAGTATTTAGAATGTATTCGCAATCTTCCATGATTTTTCTCTGGATTCGTTTCACGAGAATTTAACTACGGCTGAACTTCTGTGACTGAATTCATCACATGGGAGTGAGAATTATTTTATGCCGGGTTGTATTTTTGTGATGGAATGAATTTTCAAGAAACAAGATGGCATTTCTATCGTTTTATAATTTTGCGCAATGATCAGTAAAAACTGAAAGAATGAGTAGTTAAATTGTTTTTTTTATTTAACTCTAATTTCTAGAACCCTTAGATACATTCTTTCATGCCAAAGTAAATGCAATAAAAATGAATCACCGCAACCATAACTGAAAAAACCGTTCCTTAAAAATTCTCCCGGATCAATTGCGCTTACCTTTGAGAACTAATATTGAATTTAGAACCTATGGATATTTCATTTTCTCTACGACACTTGTGAATGCGAAGTCTGCAACAACACAAAGTCGCAGCAACGCAGTGTTTGGCCATACAATTATTTTTTCTACTGTATTAGCGGATTCAAATAATGGGTTGGGGTGGGACGATGGGTATCAAGAAATCAAAACTTGTGAGATTCTGTGCCCATCCTTAAGAGCGCTTGAGATACTTTCTTGCAATGAAATAGTGCTTCGAAAAACTATTAGAACCAGGAGGTATTTAATCAAACAGAATTGATGCAAGGGGGAAAGTGATGAGAGCCAGTTGGTAAAACGAAGTACAAAATCAGAAGTTAACTTTCATAAAACTATTTCCGCTTGGTACAATAACAAATATGTAAAACGTTAATTTTCTATAAATATAATATATGACAAGTATACTGACGCATAAACATAATAATTTCAAAGTTGTGGGCTCTGGACTGGAGAAACGATGATCACTCTTTAAATGCAGTTTCTCGGTTTTAAGTCAAACCTATTCTTATCGTCCCCCTCATCAAATATAAGCAGAGACGTATTGAGGCGTGACGTCAGTTGGTGGGATCGTTCTGTTTGAAAATCCCACAGGTTTGCGAGTCCCTTAGTGATAAAAGCGAAAGTGATAATCAGTCGTCCAATACAAATTTTAACTTTTTACATTTTTGTGTCGGATCAATGCGGGTAGTATTCTGATCAATATCAAACAACTTCTTTCATAACCATTGCATTATACCGAACTGATAAAAGTAAAAGAAAATCCAAGAATTTAAGCTTTACCAATAACAAAAAACCAACAACAACCAAGTACGATTGCAACCACCAACCGTGCAAGTTTTCCTAAACGCAATTAATTTAATTATAAAAATTCCAAGAACATGAGCCTCTACCAAAGGCCCAAAAAAGGTCATTGACAAATGATGGTCAATGGCATGATGATGGCATGAATGATAATAAAGGAGCAGGAATGTGGAATAGGAAGGAAATGAAACAGGAGAACCCTGAGAAAAACCTCTGTGACCATCTCAAGTACAATCGCACCTGCACGCACAAGGCAGGAAGGCACCAGCATCCTCTAGAATACTGCCGGCGAAGGTGCCGGCAACAGGATAAAATATCCTCGGACAGAAACGTCATTTAGAAAACACTTGAATTATTATTTTAAATTAAACTCTACTGACGTCCCTATTCCTTAGTTTCATTCATGTGTCCTAAACTGTGTTTGTCCGTATAAAACAATGTAACGAGGAAAAAAGAATGCTGCTACAATATTTGAAGAACGCCAATGTAACCTTTTATACTCCAACGACCTACGTGAGAACACGACTTTGAAGGCATCATCAGTCAGAATAATAAGTGTCAGTGTTACGAGGAAAACGTCAAGAAGAATCTGGAAGCGATCATACAAGTATAAGATATATACGTCATTACTACTGGCATACATTAAAACTGGCAGGTAAAAAAACGCACTGTCAGGGATCTCAACAATGGAAAAGAGACTGGAGGGGTCCAACCAATCACCAAAATTGACGAACTATCGCAGGAATAATCAGACGAAAACCCATTACACGGAAGATGCCAAGTAAGTCCCGGCAACAACGGCAATGTCGAGTATGTTGCCCAATGATAAACAAATACAACGATGAGCTGCTAAAGAAAGAATATGTCTATCACTCCAAATTTACGATATCTCCAATTAAATCCACACGCAAACGACGACAATACCCTTTAGTATCCTTCGACACAAGGTTGTTCCAACTGTAGGTTGCGGGAGGTCCAGTCTCATCTTTAATAACACTGAGTTTTCGACCTGAACTGTGCGTCTGCCCTTAATCCCACGAGTTTCTTTCTGATGTGCGGTCTGTCCACCCTTCCACAACCTAACCTCTCCCTGCGCGGCTAACAGCGACACAGAATACACCAACTCGCATTCCGAGATTCCGCCAGGCGCCAGCAAGGAGCCGTAGCGCGATGCCAGCAGTTGCACTCGCGGAGTCCGCGGGCGCCGAGTCTCGCCCGGCCCGGAAGCTGAGTTGGAACAGCCTGACGTCCTAGGTGGCAACGGATCCTCGCGACTGGGAAGGCAAGCCACTGACAGGTCGTCCGCGGAATCATCGGCAGCGGCCGCGCCGCGCCGCGCCGGCCGGCCCGGCGACGCGGGGGCGGCGACGCCGGCACCGGCTATTTCCTGCCGCCCGCCCGCGCGCGTCGCGACGCCTCGTTAGCGCCGAGCGACGCCCAAACGCGCAATTTCCGCCCGGGCGAACGCCGATGCTCTCTCGCCACCCGCCCGCGCCCCCGACGCCGCCCTTCCCCCGCGGGGCGACGTGCCTCGCCTCGCGTGCGACCAACGCCGGCGCCGGGCGATTTTTCTCTGCGCCGGGCCGGGCCGGCGGCGTCGCGGCGCGATCTGTCAGCGCGTTGACAAAGGGCTTTCTAAGCGGCCCGCCCCAGCAGAGGCTAGAGCCACGACGCGGAAGCGGTCGGCGGAGGGGCAGGCGATGGAGGAGGAGAAAGAGCCCACTGGGGACACATCCATCACGGAGAGTTCGGTGAAGATGAGTATTAAAATGAACCGCTCGTAGATCTTCGTATCAACCACCTGTGTACTTGGAAAAGCGATAAATCCTTTAATTTTCAAGTTAGTGCCTGAGAAAATTTGCGGTTATCGTTTCATAACCGATCCATTATGTAGTAAGTTAAACGTAGGTATTACGGCCAATAAATGTCGAATGATTAAGGTCACCTGTTTCGCAAGAGACTTGACAGGAGTCCTTGGATTGTGTGAAAGTAACGAAACATAATCGTCTAACCTTGTACTCAAAGAAGGTGTAAACTACAGTGTCACCCATCAGGAAGTACTGGTTCTCACTGACTAGTGCCATGAGCGAGCCTGAGAGCTCTTTGGGCGAGCTTCGGTAATTAAAATAAAATAAATTAAAAATTAAAAAAAGAAAAAATTATTTAATTTAAAAAAGCACCCACACCGTTAGGTCGATTTTATTAGAAAAATAACCGAAAGGAAAAAGCTGTCAACACCGATGCACGCAAAGGGTACCTTGCGTCCATGGTGCGGTGGCGCGGCGGTGGCGGCGGCTTCCAAGCGGCGACTCGGGTGCTCGAGGTAGTTGGCGAAGAGCGGGAGGTTGGGCTCGGCCACCTCCATGGCGGCGGCGGACCGGTGGGCGCCGCGACGCCCGGCGTCTCACAGCCTCCGCTGGGTGCGCTGCCGCTCGCCACGCGCGCCGGGCGCTCACTGCGCGGCGCGTGGCGGCGGCGCGCGACGCCGCTGACTCATCGGCGCCCCGTGACGTCACGGCACCCCCGCGCCGCCGACGTCGCGCCCGCCGCCGCCGCCGCCGCAATCATGGCCGTGGCCGCTGCCGTGGCGCGCAGCGTAGCCGTTCCCGGAAGCGTGGGGCGCTGGCGCGCGCGCGCGAAGCAGCCCCTCGGCGCCGGCACGCGGCGCGCGCCGCCGGCCGGGGGCGGTGGGTGTGGGGGTGGGGGAGCCTCCGCGGGGAGAGGGTGGCCGGCGCGGAGCGGACGGAAAGCGCCCTGGACGAACGGCGCCCGTCGTGTTTACCGCAGACACCATTCCCGCCGCCGTTTCTATTCATGTCCACAGCTGTTTGAGGCGGCTGTGCTTCGGAGAAAGGTCCTTTTAAAGGGCCATCATGAAGAGGGGTTTTGGAACAGTTTGGTTCATATGTTTTTCAGAAAGGACTTTCTATAAGTCCGTCATGCGGAAGGTTAATGGACAGTTTGGTCCAGAGGTTGGGGGGAAAGAACCTTCCAATTGTCCGTCATGAAGAAGGATTTTCGGGACAGTTTGGTACAGTCGCACGATATTAGAACGATGTAGAAATCATATACGCATGTGCAATATAGGCGATATAGATGACGAAGAATCTTGCGAAAATATTCCAAACAGGGCTCATGGTATGTCTCTTGCTAAAATCCTCTGCGCTACAGTCGTGACCTCTCAGAATTCAGAGGTAGTGCCCGTTTGAAAGCGAGCGGGTTGACACGTGAGGAATTTGCTGTGGACCAAGTTCAGAATATTGTAGGCATGTAGTAGGAATGCTTGCGAACATGAAACACCCACATTATGTTCGCCACATTTTAGAGAAATGCTTGTCGGTTGGATTTCGTGTGGGACATCGCAAAACAATGTAATAACTTGTGTATGATACGTAATATGAGTCGTAAGTTTTTGATATGAAACTGTCTTGTGCTCAGCGGAACTTAGACTTTTTTTTTTAGATTCGTTGTGCTGAAGTTTCTCTCGAGTTACTCTCAGCAGGAATTTGAATTTCAGGAAACTCATAACAGGAATTAATACTTAATATTTATCAAGATATTACAATATTGGCACCTTATTAATTTGAGAGTTGTCAGGTAGTGTCACCGAGATAACAAGAAAACAAGGGAAACCTCACTAAAGGATTAAGAGACTGGAAATCATTAATGGATTTAGAAACATTCACGATCATTCAGAAAAAAAATACTGGATTTATTTGTTTAATTCGCGACTAATGTAATGAACCTATCATGCATGAAGGAAAATGTGCATATTAATTAGAAATGCATGAATAATATTTTGAGTATTGTGGTAGGTATGCAGAAATGCCGTTCTCTGTTCGAGAGCGGAACATTTGTTGTGCGTCTGATTAATTCCGTAATTTAAATGAAACGCAGCAGCCCCCTCGGCGCCACACGCAGACTCTCGCTCAGAGGGGAGGGGGGGGGGAAGGGCGCGGGCAGAGGGCGTGAAGGGGGATAAGGGCGCACGGAACATGCCCTGGAGGGCGCTCGTTTTATTTTTAAGGGGAGGGAATCCGACAACAGTTGTGCTTCATTTGCTAGATTAGCTTTGCCAGAGAGGGTTTAAGGCCTTGAATTTGAATTATTCGCATTTCCTGCTTATTGGAGATTTAGAAATATCCCAACCAATATGATACGAAAGAAATTCAAATGTGAATCAATGTATGTTAGCAGTAAACGTCCTCCAGATGTCAGTATATTTTGAATTTTTTTTTTCTAAAATAATGCATATGTCAAATGTGTATTTAAAAATATTTGCAATATGTCAATCTTTTGCCTTTGACACCACAGCCTAATTCGACTGTTGATCTGATATTAGCGAACTCACATTAAGGTTCAGGTCCTTTCACGGGGCTTGGAATGTATGGGCATGGGATATCAAGAGAGAGTGAGAAAGGTAGGATCAAACTCCGACCGTTGCCCGTTGTTAGTGGCAATGCTCCTGCATTCGTAAGAAATTGACTGGAGGCAAATACGGAAACGGCAGATCGGAGCAACCGGGCTTTAGAATTTGATTTGCTCATTCAGCTAAAAAGTGACATCTTGTCAATGGCACATGTTCGATGGCTTTTAGTGATGTGACGCATCCCCGAGATTTTCGACATTGTCAACTTATTTATTTTCATCACATTGTTCTATTCTTTAAGTATATTTTTTGTTCGGTTAGTACCTTTCATTTTTTTCATTTGATGTCCGATAGGCATTTGTCACCTCAGTGGATAAGGTGGGCCGAGAAACATTTCGTATACGGCCGCATTTCGACTTCTTCTGACCACGCGTGGCCATGCGCTATCTGCAGGATGTGTGGTTTCGGCCGACGATGATGCGACGCTAGCAGCCGCATCTCGCTTTTGTCATTGAACTTTCTGTATCACCTCTCTAAAGCTTTACCATCGCCTCCTTTGAGCACCTCCTCTTCATTCGGTAGATCTGGGAATCGTAGTGGTCATGTGCTCACGGCTGAGAACTGCGTAGCGAGGTTCGAGCGAAGATGGCTTGATCATACCACACATGCAATTTTACCAACTGCCCTTTTCCAGTAAATCGACGTACTATATAATGAGACGAGGTATCAGCACTGGCAAAGAACTCTTAACTACTTGCGACTATGTAGTAATAGTTCTTTGTTGCCTGGTTTTTCACGCGTGTTAGGTGTTTTTGCGAAAGTCCTGAGTTTTTCCTTGAAATTGAGCTATATGTAATAACGTGTACTCCCACAAAGAAAAATCGTTTCGAAACTGTAACGCGATAATGAGAATCTAACAATTTCCATGTGAAAAGAAGCGACAGAGCGCGCACATGGTTTGTAGAAGCATAAAGTTTTGTTCTTTTTTGTAATTCTTGTAAGCTAGAGGGGGAAATGTAAATACATACATTTCTCATTTTGTTGATAGTGGTCATGCGTAAAGACCGAAATTTGGTTAATATTAACAGTGACCAGTTAAATCGCTCATTGGCCAAATGTGTAGCTAAGGTTTTATAATCGATAAGCAGATAATTTGGAATTTATCTGAATAATATTGATATCAACCACAGGGCGCCCCAAACATACCTGTTTATTACAAGTCTGCTATTCTTCGTCTCCGTAATGTACAGTAAATCACTCAACCTAGTCACAACGTGTGGTCAAATCAGCCTAATGTCCGAAGTATGGTTCTTGGCTATTCCTATTTTAGACTTTTTTCACCCGTTTTAGTTATTGAGAACATAACCAGTGAATAACCCAGATTCGCACTTAATCCGTACCACATACACCTCCTAATGCTTTCTATACTCTAATTAACGCATCCTAGCTATTTTCCCCATCCTTATTGGGAAACCGAACTTTGTGAGTGGTTACGACTTTTGCATATTATATCACAAGTTGCCGTCCTACAGATAGGTTTTGACAGCGTTTTGAACGCAATGGTTTTTTGTTGTTGTTTTTTTGTTTGTTTGTTTGTTTGTTTGTTTTTGTTTGAAAATTCTGAGATCTTTATTTGGGGTGAGTGAATTGAAGGTTATCAATATGTTGCCCCGACCCCTTCAAACGGAGCATGGCACGTTTCCCTCTCACACACGTCGCGCAGACCCCCTGGCGCCTCACGCCAAGCGCCGGGTGCGGAGCGCCGGAGGGGCGGAGGGGGAGTAGGGCCCGCCGGGCAGAGGGCGCCAGGGTTTGCGGACGCACGGAACTCTCGTCCGCTCCCTTGTTTACCGGGAAACTAGTGTTCATTCCATTAATTACAGTTCCAAAGGCCTATTTTAACTTTCGTTTCGATGGGGATTCTCTCACGTTGCCAAGGGAAACTCGTATTATCTCAGTCCTAACTTTTTTTTAAAAAAAAACAAACGTTCTATAAAATATAACAAATATTGTTAAAAGTAGTATTTAAAGGAAAGAAAATTTTAAGTTTTACAGTTGAGTTTTATATTCTGTGAAGTAAAAGAAAACTAACAGGCTCTTCTCTATTTCAACATTGGCATGTGTGATGGGAAATAGAATTAAAATCTCATGAACTATATAAATACCAGAGGAATTACTTCATCCATAGTTTATTATATCTCTCGATTTAGAAATGTTACTTGTCCATCCTCAAGAACCAACACCCCGCACAATCATCAACAAGATATTCAGTATATATGTATACGCAATGTTTTTGTTTCCGAAACTATAAAATTGAAAGTGTGAATGACATTTACAAGTATATTATTGGTATCATGCCCATGTTTGCTCAACTTGAAGAATGTAGACATTTCTTTTACTAGTATGTTTTACCATAAGGGTCATCAAGCGACTATGACGAACTAATGTATTCCTCGTATGACCTGGGCGTTACGCAAGCGTCCTAAGAATCATAGTGGCTTCTCCAGTCAGTGAGTCACCTTCACTGACTTCAGCCGGCTGCGCTTTGCATTTGATGGATATACGTGTTATACCAGTCGGGTAGTAAAGATCATGCTTGAGGAAAAAGCCTGACGGCAAGTTCTTTCAGATGGGTGAAGTAACCAGTAAGATTTTGAAACGCACATCAGTACATTTTGACACTACAGCTTCTTTGCCTCGTGTGTAAATTGAAATCGTTATAATTGTAACTTCGTTTCAATCTTCTATTCTATGCTTTATGATTGTAGTGATGTGTAATTTTTTTTTCTCAAAGTGAATCTTTCGTTCGAAATAGTCCACGTGTCCTCGCGGGAGCTGGCTATATTCGTACTACGTAACGCGGCTCGCCGTACGCTTCCCTCGAGCCGTAAAAGTCAACCGCTATCTTTGGGTAACCCAAGTGTATAGGAGCGACTCCGAAGGAGGCCGGCGAGGGGGCATTTAACCTCTCCGGCACGCGAATCTCCGCTTAGGCAGCCGCCCCACTCGGGAGCAGCGTGGAGGGCGGAGGGTCAAGCTCAGCCTGCAGCCCAGATTTCCTTGTTTACGTCGCACCCAACATCGCGAAACGTAAGACACCGGCAGCGCCGTGACGCAGGCTGCTTGTTTTGCCGGGGCAGGTTTGTTTACATGCATCGGACTATTGCGTGCGTCATTCGATGCGAGATGACTCAAGATTGGATCCCAGACGGGGGTAGTGGATAGAGAGACTGCTGGGTATAAAACTTTTCAATGAAGTTACACGGCACCCTAAAGTATGAGAGATTGTTAATGCCAGACATGTGAAACGGTTATGTACTCTAATATTTTTACTTTTTCTCTACCGGTTTTGCAGTAGAGAGGAAGTTATGTAATGCTGTGCGAAAAAATGGCGAAGCTTCGGCAGAAAAACCCATTACTAGGCCCTAGTACCAAAAACGTGGATAAATCCAGTTGAACTACGCTAGCAGCTAAACTGTCCAGCTGATTTTCTTTAAAAATGCTATTCCCCAATCGATCTGACTGATGTCGCAGCCCCTTGAACTTGAAATCGATGTTTTAATTTTGGGGGGTGTTTACGTGAAGTCCATGGGTTATTTTCAAAATTTGCAAACAAAATATGGCTCCATTAATTTTTATTAAAGTTTGTTGTTGAATAGTGTAAAGGGCATTTAAGAGAATGGAGCATATTTTATTTTCATTAAAAACTGTAATTGTTTTAAAAATTTGCAATTCAAAATTTTTTCGGCGTCTCCCTACAACTACTTATGAAATAGAGATTTTTCCTTTTATAAAATCTTTTACTTAAAGACCGATTTTGAAATAAGGTTATGTACAATTTTTCGAAGATGTCAGTACTTTTCGCGTCATTTGGCGTGAAAGTACGAGCGAGAAAATACTGCTATTTTAGCACCAATAGTTAAAAGTAGTGGGCACGCGCAGAATGCCGAAACTTGCTCTTACTATCGCAGCAATTACTCATATTTTTTAAAGTGCACGATGATAATTAACTACATACAATTGAGGAATAAATTAAATCGACAAAGAAGTATTTGGCTTTAATATTGGAAGAGTAAGACAGGTGCAAAAATAAATTTGAACCCTTGCAATAGTCAAAATGTCATAGGCAACACATTTATCCACCATTCATCTACATATACAAACATCCCAATTTTCGAGTACATAATTGCATGTTCCTCCTTTCCATTTGCACGAATCTCAACTAGCTTTAAAATAGCTTTACTGCCAGAATTATTTTGTTAGGTGGAGGAAGGGAGGGGTGTTAATACTACAGCTTTAACACTCCTCTATTGGGAGAAAAAGGAAAAATAATTCGTAGAATTTTTCTTTTTTCTATCATCTTCCTCCAACTAACAAAATAATTGTGGCGGTAAAGATGGTTTGTTATCAATGATAAAAACAAAATTTCAGAAGCAGCTCCGCTACAGAAAATACAGTAATAATACATACCTATCTATCTACTTCAGTTTACTAGTAAATGAGATAAAGACATAACATAAATTTTGTGTGTGATTTATTGTAGTTACACAGTTTTAGTGATAACTAAATGTCACCACAGTAGACGAAATGGTGAGACCTAATTACTGATGTATTACTGGCTATTAAATGTTAGGGACATTGCATAATTAGGAAGCAGAAAACGAGACGGTTACCACAAACATTAAAGGAGCATCTGCAGGTTTGTCAATTATCTCCCGTGATATTATATTCAGACACACTTATTGAGAATGTAAATTAATCATAATCACACTCCTTAGAGCATCTTTTGTTATTAAATGCCCTTCCTTATAGACGAAACAAAAAGTAGCATTTTTGGGATAAAATATTATGTTACCTCGTTCCTTCGTGGTCGGTTTTTAGTCTTCCCAGTCTGCCAGCGCAACCTAGGTTTAGTTTGTAATGCAGGGCATTTTCCCTGTTTGAGAACATCCTCCTATTTCAAGACAATAGTGTATCGTAAGGGATCATACATATTTTTTTATGAAGATATTTTTGTTTAGACAATTATTATATAACAAACGGCACGTAGACGAGTTAAGTATTTACAACAAAATATTGTTTCTATCCGAATAATTAATTAATTATATAAGAAGAGACAGGTACGGTTGTTGGAACAGCCACGGTCGGGTTGCCGTGCACACCAATTAAATTCGGAGGTAACGTGATGCGTCTGTTCTAGGAGTACCTTCGTTCAGTTAAGTTTTTTCGTTCTCTTGTTCGTTATGTTTTTGTAATTTTTGTCATAGACATTGTAGTGTGACATTTCAAAATTGTTTTGAACACTAATTGTGAAAGAGAACAGTGGCATCACTATCTCCATAAGATACGATACTACAAACCTAACCTCGGTCGCGCTTATTAACTAGAGATGCGACATCGATGTCCATGTTTCCAAAATATTGAGGATTTTATGAAATCGTCGATGTATTTAATTTTTTTTTTTTTGAAGCCGATGTTTTACGTTCAATGTGTTAAGGTGGTTGATATTTCATTTTTGAGTGAAAAAAGTACCAGCATAATCAAAACTTTTTATTATAATTGTGAGATTTACATAAATTGCTCATTATTCCGAACAAAGTGAGCAAGGGTGAAAAATAATTAAAATAGATGTTCCGCCAATAAATGTTGTGTATTATTTTTGAATTGTGGAATCAGAACTTTTGTTAATTGTCCTGATTATTTCTTGATTTTATTTAGTCAGTTAAATTTTGTTTAAAAATAACCAAACGTGACCACCATTAAAATGTCTTCACCCATGAATATTAATGGTACCTAAAAGTTATGGGTAAGGTTCTAAGAAACATTGACATTTAAATACATCGATGGTTTAGGGGCGATGTTTTATTAACATCGATATGTTAATTTTGAATATCGATGTTTTTTGGCGATGTCGTATCTCTATTAGAGTCACGCTGATGTGGCTGGATGCACAGGTTGAAACTACCATCCGGAAGCAGAAGGGCCAGACATTAATGATGCTGTTGGAGTGGGCAGCCCACAGTCTTCTCGAAGGCTAACAAGGGGCTCTGTGAGAATACAAGCCCGTTTGCGGGAAAGACCTCACAATGGCGAGCAGAGAAAAGGTCAAATCAGAACGAGAAAGACGAATAAGACAAAAGCACGGAATTGTTCTGACTGCGAACTTCCTGAGCAAGCCTTGTAAAGGGTCACGGCACGTTACGGAAACTTGAGATGAGGAGCAGGCGGTTCTCGGGGAATGCTGGAGCTGAATTCTGAGGTTGCTGAGTAATATATTTGTAGAACGTATCATTTGCATCCAAATGTCATTTTTGTGAGTTTCAAAATTCAAAAGAAATCTTCTTAAATATTTGTTTTTACCTTCTCGCCTTACTACGCATTCACGACGTAAGAAACTCTGTGAATTTTAAATGGATATTTTGACATTTGGGTTTTCTTTACATGAAACCTCTATAACATTTTCAAAATTTTCTCAAAAACAACTTCAATTTTAAAGCATGAACTTTGCAATCGGATAGCGTGAAGAACTCTTAAAGAATTGGCAAGGTCTTATTTTCGTTGAAATCTCTGATTTTTCGAAAATTAGAAAAGTTCCAATTTTCCCGGCGTCATGCTACAAATACATTATTGAAGAAACGTATTAAAAAAAATCCGTTGATAAAAGACGTCAAGAAATAAGTCCATGTACAATTTTAAACAATTATTATCTCAAAAATCTCTCCAAATGTTTTCTAAGTTTCTCCTTGCCAGTGTTGTAGAGCTGTATAGAAAGTGGTTATGGTCTCATTTTCTGCAAACTCACTGTATTTTCAAAAATTCGAAAAAAAATCACAACGCAGAAGTTTAATGTTAAAGACAGATATTTTTGAATGAAAATTGTTGTAAGAAATTGGATATTTAAAAGAAGTCACTACAATTCTTTGAAAAAAAACTAGTGGAATTCGCTTTATTCCTTCATGAAGTTAATGTAATTTATTGAAAATGTTTTTTTTTAAACGGCTATATTGTTTTCTTTAAATTATTTCCTCGAAGAAAGCAAATGACGCTTAGAAAAATGGCACAGATCCCATTTTCGGTGATCTACGTGAATAAAAAAAAACATTGCTTAAATATAAAATTGAGGAAAGATTTTTTTTTAGTTATTGAAATCAGTTCTTCTAAACTAAATCTTTATGTGAAGCAATGTACGTTTTTTTTTAAATCTGAACATTTTTGCGTAATTTTTTCAAATTTTCGAAATTGCAGATTGGAATTTCATGCAATTTTTTTACTAGAATCTTTCAGGAGTTACCACATTTGAATAGAACGCTGAAGTAAAGCAGTTGGAAATTCTCAGAATAACTTCTCATTGTTGGGCGGTGTTTCTGGGTATGAGATGATTTGGATTGTCGAATTTGGGTTTACGTAACGCCTTTAAATGAATGAAATATTCACGCTTATTGCCATATTATGCGAAGTTGGTCATGAGTTTTCCAAGTGTTGGCTGAGATGTGTTAATATGGACAAAAAAAAGCAGTATTATAATATTAACTAACCGTTTCTGGAATGTGAAAATACGTGCTGTTGAAGAACCACTAGATTGAAGTGTTTACGCTTTCCTACGACATACTTTAATCAAACAATTTGGAGCCACTTTTGAGAAAAGTTTGAAAAAGTTATGTAAGAATCATGTAAAATATTCCCACTTCCATTTCCTCTTGTTCGTGAAAATGCAATCATTTTACTATCTGAAATGCTCACCCAAATGCTACAGTTAGATGGCGTTTGTGCCATGGTGCATAATTCAATTACATGCCTTTGTTTTCTCTGTAGAACACATTCAATGCATTTCAAAAGTGAGTTCCAAGCGAAGCAAGTATCCAAACACATTGTGGATGAGTCACTCGAGTCGATGTGCCAAAAGGTGAAAGGAGGTGCATAGCGATGCATGCTTGGAAGTGTTGGAGTTTAAAACAAGATTGCCTTATAATGCACTGAGATCATTCTAAAACTTTTTTTTTTTACTATTGAAGATATTCTGCGAAATACGCATAGTGTAAATATTTTGAGTTGCGTTGCCATTAATGAAAGGGCATTCGTTCCCTCGGTACGACTGAAGTGTTTCAAGGCCAAACAATAAAAGTATACCAACACATTTTTTTGGAGAATGTGTGTTACTTATTGAGGAGGAAAATTGGGTAGCATTAAACTGCTGCAAAAATATAAAACAATGAAATCATATGGGATAGTCATTATTTATCTCGATAACTATGAGAATGTTTGTGTGCCGCCGGAGTATTTAATATACGTGCTGTGAGAACCGTTTTCCACAATTATCTCTGCATACAGTTATGTACTTGTATAGACTCCAGAGATATCAATTTGCGAGAATGTTGGTCATATGAGTTACGTTAAAGAACTTCGGAAAGGACACGGAGGATATGACTGAATTCAACAGATAACTGAACATCCAAGTCAATAGACCCTACAAGATGTAAAGATTGCATGCCGGACGTACCCCTTGAATTCGCACAAAGGGTTTGAAGTTGTGATACAGCGGACCTCCTCCTGTCATATCGCTGCCTGAAAACACATGACTGAGTTCTGCGTTTGTGTATTTCGCCTGCCACTGCATGAGAATGAATGTGTATGTGCTCGTATCGCATTCCTTTTCAACATACATCGCGCTGGGTGTCCCGGCGTTGCGCATTCACATTTGACATCCATCCTCATTCCGTATTTTCGAAACTGAGAGACGTCATGCATATTGTGCGAGCAGATGCAAGTGCGAGAACAGCGAGCGGGCGTTTTGGACGCGCGTTGGGACACAGGGGCGTCAAAACTAGCCCGTTCACAATGGGTCAGGAAACCGTCTCTCAGTCGTAGAGAAAGCTCAAATTCGATTAAATAACTTTCATAAACTTGAAGAAGAAGAAGAAGGAAGGAAGAAAGAAAGAAAGAAAGAAAGGAAGAAGGAAAGAAAGAAAGAAAATATGTATTCGAAAAGATCTAAAATGAAGAGCAAAAATATTGAAAATTTGACCCGGATTCTATATTTTAAAAAGGTACAGAGGATGACTTGATATTTTAAAAATACTTTACAATGTCCTTGAAGAATGTATTCTGTCAAGAAAGCTCAAGAGTAATATTTCATCTGTTTTGTTCACCTTTATTAATCTCTATTCATTGAGTCAAATTATGATAGTATATTATATTTATGTTTTACACTCTTTAACCCTCGTGTCATTTTAAACAGTCGGCCTTGAAATGTGAGTCTCTCGCTACGAATGACTACATATTCTAGGGGTGCGTGTAAAAATACACACTGTTGTGATGGAGAAAAGCCATGTGTAGTGTGATATCTCCAAATCATTATATGATGGGTGTCCGGGAAGGAAACATGAAAACTTCGAAAATAAGCTCTTAGACACTTTAAGGAATATTTTATCTAATAAACTACTTGGATATTCCGAGTGGCTAAGCCTCTCTAAGCACTTAAAAGTTGGTTTGAAAAAATGTTTTCTTTGCAAAACTTTGCATTGCATAACAATAGAAACACTGCAACATCATGTATTTTTTATTTACAAAAGAAATTAATACATTTAATCAGAAAGACAAATTAACACAGAAAAAAACAGTCGAATTGTAAAATTTTGTGTTTTTTTTTTATTTCAGTGATAATTTTTCTCTCTGAATACGTATATTAATTTCTTTTGTAATAATAAACTACTTACATGTTTATGGAGCGTTTCTATGCTTCTTCATGCGAGTTTTTGTCTAGAAATAATGTTTTCAAACCAACTTTTAAGTGGTTATTGCGGCTTAACCATTAGAAATATCCCACTTGCTTATTACTAGATAAAATATGCTTAAAATTGTCTTAGGAGGTAATTTGCGAAGTTTCGACGTTTCCTCCCCGGATAATCTATATATGAAGGGTTTTCAGCTTAACTCGCAACTCATGTCTGGAAACACGTATTGTTTTGGCAGTTTGGCAACGCATGAAATACCTTTGGCATCCCTTTCACTTTTAGTCCGTCCCCTCACATTTCCGAGTGAGAGAATGTGTCTAATGTTAGTTGGAAGAAAGAGGAAGCACTTATTCTGTCCTTGTTAGTCTTCAACGTACTGCAGCCACTACACTAAAAAAAGTATACGCCTGTCTCGTGGCAAATGGTGGTCGCTTTGAGCATTTATTCGACGGTCAGTGTTCTGTCATTTTGAGAAAATTACATTTTATTCATTTTTATTAATTATTTTCAATAATTATTAATTTACTACTGAATTATGTTTTATTGGTATTTTTAATAATTTTCTTAAGAATTTCTAATTTGCTTAATAATCAGATTCAATAATAGTAATAACAATAATAATACATTATTGTTGTTATAAATAATGAACCGCTTGGCAGTAATGTTTCACAAGGTATCTTTCTGATTTCTCTCTGTGCCGACTTTCATTAAATAATAATTATTGTTACGTTGGTGTTAATAAATTGAAAACCAGCCATAACTTACCTCCACACGCCGCTTGAACCGCATACCTGCCCGCATAAGCTTTTGAATGGTAAAAACATAGAAACTAGTTGCTGCAACTTATGACCTGACGGTCGCCTCCTCTGTTTGCTATCGCGACGTGCGAGGCATGGCTTTCTTGATAGGTGACAAAAACACGCGGTTGCCAAATTGCCAAAACAAGAACAAGTACCCTCAGACATGGTTTGCGAGTTAATCTAAAGACCCTGTAGAATACAATTTGAGTATCCTGCGTCCTTTCGTCCGTCTGCTCTTCAGGATTATACCCCGTCTGGTGCTCCAATCGAGACAAATGAGATGTCGAACGACTCTTCCCGAATTCTTGGCAAAGAGCAGTTGCTTATTTTTGTAGCTCAATTTATACGATTCTAAGAGATTACCCTAAAAAGTGTTTTTGTTTGTTTTAAAACAACTAAAACTATTTTTGACATTTACAGAGGTGGTCAATAGCTCATCAGATTGTTATCGACAAAGCATTCAATTGCATTGCAATTTTCCAGGGAGTTGAATATAATATTATATAATTTAGATAAAAGATGTCAACATTTAACAAGCAAGTAAATAGTTACCGATAATTTAATACAAGTTTTATCACTAACTTTAATTACGTAATTGAAAAATAATTATGTAAATCGAAAATCGAAATAAAGTAAGTTTTAACTTACGAGGACGAAAAATATATGTTGGAAAACGTGATCTGATTTGAGGATGAGGAACATAAATTGACCAAGAGTAAGGTTTTGAAAAATGGGTGAAGTTGATAACTTGTTATAGGCAATTTTTTAAAACGTGAGCAGAAATGATTTGATAGTACACGTTTCATGTTCCCTGTGACCTTTTTTATTTGATATTAAACAGGGAGCAATCTTTTTTGCGAAAGAATTTACTTTGAGCTGTTAGAAATCTGTGAAGATTTATGTATTATATATATAATATTGTTATTATGTATATATATATATCTTATATATATATATAATTATATATATATATTATTATATACTAGTATATATATTATATATATGATATAGTTATATATATTATACACATATATATGAGTATTTACATGTTAAACTTACATAACGTATATGTTTAAATATAGCCGAGTTCTGTCACACGTGTTAGGAGAATTCTGACGACCGGCTCTTCTTCTGATCGGTGAATTTTAGTGATTTCTGCTTCCAATAACAATAGCGAACGCTGGATAAGTATATATCTACCGGACGGCGCGCGTTCTTTCCTTCCCCTTCCTTGTCCTATCCTCATCCTTTACACATATACTATATACATGCACTACATGACCACACATGCCGGGAGTCCGATCTGGTGCTTATAGCTTATCCCGAGTGTGGTACCTCGCAAGTGGAGATACCTGGGTCGAGAAACAGCTTATCTACAGTAGGATCGGCGCCGGATCCCGCCATCCAACGGGCAATATCACCACCACCTCTCGAGTAAAAAATGCGCTGCACTTACGGGACTAACAATCTCAGCTTTATATATATGTATATATATATATATTATATATATATATATATATATATAATATATATGCATAGTATAATACTTCTTACGTACGTTTTCATAATGATACATATATTGTAAAATCGCAGCTTTGTGTTGAGTCATGGGCCCATTTTGTCCACCCCCGTGGCTGCGGCGCGCGTGTGCGTATGGTGTTTGGTGGGCGGGGGGGGGGTCGCCGCCATTTGGAAAGAGCGTGCGGGCAGTGTCAGAGGGCCATTGCGAGAGATAAGTGCGCGTCGGAGGCGAGGAGGCCTTGCAAAACCAGCAACACTCATCGTGTAATCAACTGCATCTCTTTTCACTTTCCACCGCATCAGCACGCATGGATTTTGTTTCTCTAGATGTGCACTACCGAATGTTCTTTCCGTAAGAACTACATTGCCCCAAACTATTATTTAACATTTTACGAAGAAAGATCTTTGCAGAGTTAGAAAATATTAATAAAACCGTGAGACGTAATGAAAACGACAAGTTACGAAGATGCAACTGGTGAGAAAAACTATACAGTCGTTTGTTTTTATTAAAATGAATTCATCTGGTTATATGAGTGTCAATTTTAATGAAGTGGGAAAGATAGACAATTTTATTATAATATTTTGATTCTTAATGAAACATTTTCGTAATTTTTTTGTTAAAAGAATACTTCATAAAATATACGAATATATTTTACAAAAAATTGGATTTGTTTAATCACCACTTACACACTTATTTTCACGTTTATCAATTGACTTTGTAATTTAAACATCATTAATTTGGATTTATTTTTCCAAATGAACAAGTCTGTTCATTGTTTGAAGGTAGTTACATTTGCGATTTCAGTGCAAAATTGAGTAAATTACTGGTGAACTGGTAACTACGTAAATAACTCGTTTAGTTATCAATGAAAGTATCTGTTAAGAGAATATTATGAAAACACAGAATTATACGACGTGATGGACACTTGCAAAAACGACACCAGGAAATGTGGGGGCAATATTATATTAAAATGTAACTTAATATTCCTAGTTGTCATAAACATCATTACAATTATGTAAAATTCAATATGAATCAAATATGACATAATTCAATGAAGCGTAATTGATTATGAAGAACCTGTCGAGTTTACTAATCCCTCTTCGTAGATGTATCATTGAACCATTCGGAAGATTTAAGCAAATAGACCGTCAAAATAGAGCTGTTCGGCCATACAAACATACGAGCATAATAGTAATAACGCCCATGGCAACCAAAGCAACAGCGCTCGAACATATCGGTTTACACATAATCTCGTATTTCAGATTACACAGACCCGCAACGTAGCAGCGACTGGTTTTGGAAGCACGTGTTCTGCGTACCAAATCGGCTGTTTGAATTTACTAACACACTCGTATATTGGCTCTCTAGTAAACCAGGAGCCTGAACATACCAAAGTGTCAATTCTTGTATTATCATTCTCAGGAAGGTGCTACTATTCAACGATTAAAGCAAATGTTCTCTCGTAGAGCATAAAACATGAATGTAAATTGTCTTAATGAAATTGAATGA